AAACTGGCTCTCTTGTTTTAATCACCTTCTGCCCTTCCATTAAATAGCATCGTTGTGTTAAATAGCATCATGTAGAAAGTCACCTATTTCCGTAATTTTCCACTAATGTTGTACCATCCCTTGCAAACAATTCACATCTTTGTCACATCTCCTCCTTCATGGTGCCCATCTACATTAAAATCCAACATTCTGAGATAAAGGTCAGAATTCTGAGATTAAACTCAGAATTCTGACTTTTTTTCTCATATTATACTGAAATAAAATATAAAAATCCGTTAATTTGTTTTTATTTTTTCAGTGGCCCTAATCCTCTTCCGTAGTTTTGATAGTTCAGTATTCAGTTCTATTTTTCCATTAAATCTATTAAATTATAAAGAAATAAGAATAAAAATAAATAAATCTATTTAGAGTCCATTTAGAACTAATAATTTGGTGCTGAAACTCACAATTATTACAGTCAATTTCATAATTACAACTTGGAAACGCATAATTCTGATTCTAAAACTCATTCACATTACTTCACAATTATATTTTAAGAGTTAGAAGCTCAATAAAATATTTAGATCTCCCCAAAAAACATCAATAAGATACTGGAGTTTGCAGTTTGGACTTTGCATCTCATAACTATGACTTTAAAACGTATATTTATCTTCGTAAGAAAATTAACATGACATTCATGAAAATAACTTTGGGATTCTTGAAAAAAAGAGTCAAGAAAAAAAAGAAACACCAGGTTTCTGTTTGTAAACTCTAATAACTTTTTTATTTGCCTTATTTTGCATGTGTTTTTGGTTGCATTTTGTTAAAGTAAACTATGAATGCCTAATGTCTGCACCAGTTGGCATACTTTCTCAGAGCAGCAGGGTTAGTTTCAGTGAACATATCCAGTTACATGGAGGACTTGTCCCTGTGATCAGAGCCATACCTCTGAACAGAGAGAGACGGAGGGGCTCTGTGCTCCCATCACAGGCTCAGGCCAAAAAAGGTAGGTTGATATTTGTACTTAATTTAATGAACTTGTTTAGACTAAACTTAGAAACAAAGAAGAGTTTAAATGTATCATGCTTTCTTAAAATATTACAAGAATACTAGACCTAAATTAATTTATGAAAAAAAAAAATCCAACATATTTAAAAAAAAAATTCCTTCTGTAGTCATGGTTCTCCTAAAAATAATAAATAAATAACAGCTTCTCTACTGTTACTCTAAAATCCAGCTGCAATATCACTGACAAGGTCCAGAAAATAAGCTCATTATTTTTCAAGGTCTCTGCATTGCTATTAGGTGCATTTTTTGCATCAGATTTAAAGTGTTTATATTGTTGATTTAAAACAATAATGTTCTTACACCAATCTATTTATTGGATTTCTATTCCTTCCCTCAGGTTATCAGTAAAACAGGTTTTGTTAATGCCTACAGAGAGAAATAAGATTCAAGTTGAGACATCAGTTTCTTATTTCTGCCTCCTTCTTGGTTACAGCCTGAATGTATTAGGGCAGCTGACTGTTTCTGTTTTCAAAACAAGCCTATAGCTAAACTTCAGTCATTACAAAATGATCACTAATTAAACAACTAGTATTGTTTTTTATTTTATTTTCTTTATATTCCTGTATATTAATACTGTAGTTTTCCTTTATTATTTTTTCTATTTATTATTTTTTTAACACCTTTCAGAAATACTTTATAGCTAAGTTGTATTTATAGATATAAATAATTTGTTTTTGTGATGAGGTGTTACAAATAAACAAGCAAACATATAGTTAACATGAATAAATACATGAATGTGAACATTTAGACATTTAGCAAATGAAAGTTAAACATTATGGCAAGTATCAAATAACAATAACACTGTAACATTACATTAGATTATATTTTATATATACACAAATGTACATTTGATGTTTAACTTCATTTTTAATGATTATATCACTTATGTTTTAGATTTTTGTCAAACTAAATTATTTCAGATAATCAAACTAATTTTAGTATGTAAATAAAGACAAAGAACAATAAAGACGAGAAGGCACATCTTACTTTTACAAGAAATCCTCCTTAGGATCCCCAAACCTTGGTGGGAAATATTCTGTTCTCAGCAAAAAAAGACATGTTTAAAGGAGTGCATCTTGTTTCTATTCCATTATAAGAACATCATACCCTGAGTCAAATTTTTTATTTTTTTTTTATTTTTGCAGCTTTAGGACCTCAATCATCTTAATTCAACCATAATTGATGGAACTATTAATTTCCTCCTCTCAAAAAAAAAAAAAAAAAAAAAAAAATCATAAAGAGCAGTAAGTCTGTGCTCTTAGATTTTGGCACCACACCCAGTACTAGAAGGTTATGACCCAGTGGCCTAGTCAAAACCTGGACTTAAATGCAATGGTTATAAGTTGGCATAGTGTAAATAAATTTCCAAAAAAGGTCAGAAAATTCCTTTACCATGATATAAAAGACTCTATGCCTGTTATCACAAGCAGATTATAGATCCAGCAGAGAATGATTTATTTATTTTTTAAATAGGACCAGGTTGATTTGCAAAGTTTGTTTCCCTAACTAAGTATAATCCCAAAATGAAAATTAAATTCTGTATTTTATTGCATTATCTATGACTGATGATGCTGATAATGTTGCTTTGACTTATCTAATAGTTTCCTTATCTGTTTTCTTTTGTCAATCTTTCTCTTGTCCTTTTTTGTGTGAACATTGATATATAAGTGATATATAAGTTTTAATTTTCTAAATAAAACAAGCACAAACAGCAACCTTTCACTGTGTACTTAGAATGTGTTCATTTCAGGATGAGTTATAAAGTAATCAGAGAAAGACATGTCAGGTTTAACACTGATCTGCCTTGTTTTCTTCTCCTTAAGGTGGTCCAGAAAAATGTCTTCCAAAACGGATTCTCCTCCATCCTATGAGGATGCCCTGCAGCATCCTAAGACTGTTAATTATCCCTTCCAGACACAACATGGCACCCCTCTTACCCCTCCTCCATCTTACAGCCCAAGTCCCTCCGCTTGCATCGGCCCGCCTAGCTACTGGAGCCAGGGGGGCGTCTACCCACAGGCCGGCATGTGTCCAGGCCCTGGCTTCTCTCAGCCTATCGTGCCCATCCCCACCCTGTCAGCAGGACTGCCTGCATCCAGCCCAGGTTCCCCGGAGCTTACACAGGCTTTCATCACTCACTTCTATTAAAATGATCTTCTGAAGTTTAAAAAACATTTATTTTCAATTCTGCAGGAGAAATGGATGACTTCATCAGTAACCAGTGGGAGACCACCTCCATTCGACATGCCTTTATCAGAAAAGTAAGGAC